TAAACTAGCATAAAGACTAAATACAAATTTTAAAATAAAAACTCGAATATTTTAAAATTAAACAAAGTTGTTTATAAACTAAAATAAAATTAAACAAAGTTGTTTATAAACTAGCAAAATATGAAATTTCTTCAAGAGAGAAGTACCATTATTTAATATTTAAAAAAAAAAATTATAAAACAAAGTTGTTTATAAACTAGCATAAAGACTAAATACAAATTTTTAAATAAAAATTCGAATATTTTAAAATTAAACAAAGTTGTTTATAAACTAACAAAATATGAAAATTCTTCAAGAGAGAAGTATCATAATAATACTAGTTTATAAACAACTTTGTTTTATAAAATTTTTGTTAATAATAATAAATAATGATACTATCATGTAACTAACTTTTTTTCGCAAACTTTAATTTAAATTCTGCTTGCGCAGAACTTGTCTATATAATGTCATTATAAACTCATACAAATATGATGTGGGTCCCATGTCTAATAACTGAGATATGGGTGTGCCAAAATCCACCAGCCGCCACTGTATATAATATTATTATATAATATCTACCTACTTTATTTACAGGTTGTCTCGGACAATATTATACATATATGTATAATTTTTGTATAGTTTTTCTCGGATTTATGATTTAATGGCTTGACTTTCTTGACTTTTACCAGGACGATATATTGTAACTTCAGACCGTGGGCGAAATGCTATTTCGCCCACTAGTGGTACAACTGAAATTAAAACTGTTTAGAATTAATAAATGAAATGGGTGTTGTTAAATAAAGTATCTATTAATAACTTATACAATATATCGTCCCAGTAAATGTCAAGGGACTTAAGCCACAAATTATATATACAGGGTGTCCGGGAAAAGGAGGTCAATCCGTTAACCATATATTCCTTGAGTTAAAACAATAAGACTTTCGTAATACCATTTTTCAATTTAGAGCTTCATGTTCGATATACAGGGCGACAAAGTTTGAAATTTAAAACTGATTTTTTTTTAATAATTCGAGTAATTGATAAGATATTAAGTTCAAATTCGGTACACTACTTCAACAAAAATAGTTACATTTTTTGAGACCAACAAAACAAAAAACAATTGTCAAATAATCAAAATAGGGGGGTCCAGTACTCACTGACTCCCCCTATTTTTTACTACGTGCGCCAATTACTTCCAAACGGTATTTTTTCAGGTAATCATTTATTGTTAAAAAAATTTTGTCTCTTATAAAATTTTGATAAAATGATTTGTTTTAGAGATAATTTGTAAAGTATGGGCCAGTCCATATCAAATCAACCAAAGGTTCTTCCCCCACCATCTCCGATTTTGATAATTTTTGGTAAATTTGTTTACCTCACTAAAAAACTCAAAAACCCCATATATGAATTTTTTTCGATAGATGGTTTTTGTTTTATTGATTTTTGAAAATCAAAAAATTCCGATAAATTTGGGTTTTGCAAGTACTTACAAAAATAGCGATATCTCGTAAACTATTAAAAGTAGAAAGGTGAGTGATGGCTTATTTTAAAGGCCTATTAGAGACCTTTTTTATGATATATCACATGACAAATTTTTTCAAAAAAAAATTAAATTTCGAAAATTTGATATGGACTGACCCATACTTTACAAATTATCTCTAAAACAAATCATTTTATCAAAATTTTATAAGAGACAAAAAATTTTCAACAATAAATGATTACCTGAAAAAATACCGTTTGGAAGTCATTGGCGCACGTAGTAAAAAATAGGGGGAGTCAGTGAGTACTGGACCCCCCTATTTTGATTATTTGACAATTGTTTTTTATTTTGTTGGTCTCAAAAAATGTAACTATTTATGTTAAAGTAGTGTACCGAATTTAAACTTAATATCTTATCAATTACTCGAATTATTAAAAAAAATCAGTTTTAAATTTCAAACTTTGTCGCCCTGTATATCGAACATGAAGCTCTAAATTGAAAAATGGTATTATGAAAGTCTTATTGTTTTAACTCAAGGAATATATGGTTAACGGATTGACCTCCTTTTCCCGGACACCCTGTATATATATATATATATATATATATATATATATATACAGGGTGTCCTAGAACTCGCGCCACATAGAAAACCGGAACGTGCCGAAAGTAACGTGAAACACATATTTGAAAATTAAAATTGTCTAACGCAAAGGATAAGCGAGATAAGAATAAAAAAACGATAGCCAATCCCAATAGATGGCCATAGGGAATTCTTTAAATTGCTAGGATACTTAGGTTGCATTGTTGATAATAAAAAATATGTAAAATATTTGGTCCACTGGAATCCAATTCATTGTGACACTGCTGTCAAACTCCTGTCATTAATATTATATTAGGTTATAAATTAAGTTATTATAAATAATGTTTTCCTTAGATGATTATACTGAAATGATAATTATTTATTTATTTAGTGTGGGCGCAACGCCAGGGAGACAACGCGAGTTTTTTTCCAGCCCTTTCCTAATCGTTATTTTAAAACATTGGCGTTCTGAAGTATAAGTCATAGATTAATAACCTCATTTTTGAAAGCTTTTGACAACTTGGTAAATACAGTTGGTCAAAAGATTTTTAAATGTTTTTAATACAACAATGTTCTATCGTCTCCTAGCAATTTTTAAAGCTCTTACGTTTAACCTAGGCGAGAGCTTTCGGTATTGGCTGCCGCTTTTTTGCTCTCATTCGATTACACTATTACCTAGAAATTTTTTATTTTTAAATTTGGCATCTCCATTGCTATCGGCACGCCCCCTTTTTCTCTGTGGCGCGAGTTCTGGGACACCCTGTATATATATATATATATATATATATATATATATATATAAATCCAATAAAAATGCCCACAAAGAATAGATAATATAATATCTAATAATTATAATATTATGAATATATGAGTACATTAGATGCAAAACTCGGTTTGTGCAAATTTTTCAAAATATATGGTTAATTCTCATATAACTTGTTCCGATGCTGTATCCACTTATTTTTGTGAAAACTAATTCTCGCTCAAGGTTTTTTTAGTGTAATAAGCATGTAGCATTTCAAGGTAATGGGAACTTAAATTATGACAACCCTAATCTATTAATTTTTTCCTAAAATGCAGGCTCTATGTTGCAAATGTCACATAAGTTACCGGTCACCAACTGCAATATCCTAACATCGATGAATATTTCAACAAAATGGCCGTTCAAACAACTAATGTTAGTGCTTGATTAACTAAAAATAGATTGACTAAAAATTATTTTATCCGAAATCGGCAGTAAAGTAGTCAACAATCGTAAATTAAAATAAATCGGCAGTAAAGTTCTACTTTACGCCGATTTCGGATAAAATAATTTTTAGTCAATCTTAAGTCTCGATGTTAGGATATTGCAGTTGGTGACCGGTAACTTACGTGACATTTGCAACATAAAGCCTGCATTTTAGGAAAAAATTTATAGATTGGGGTTGTAATAATTTAAGTTCCCATTACCTTAAAATCCTACTTGCTCATTACACTAAAAAAAACCTTGAGCGAGAATTAGTTTTCACAAAAATAAGTGGATACAGCATCGAAACAAGTTATATGAGAATTTACCATATATTTTATCCTATGTATGCACATTACTGCACTGCACTTTAGTTACGTCATAAACCCAAACCATCCCAAACTCAACAACACAACCCAACCGACCCCGCCCCATTACCCCCCCCCCCGCCCCATTGAGCAAAAAACCCAACTAAAATGGGCAAATTTATGTAACGATAAAAATAAAACACTTTTTAACAAAGGAACAACAAATTTATGAAATAAAAAAGTTCGACAACTTCTAGTAGATTTTATGTTACGATAAAACTAAAACTAACCAACCAACCCAACCCAAGCTAACACTGTTTAACAAAGAAACAACAAATTTATGAAATAAAAAAATAAAAAATGTTCGACAACTTCTTAGTATCGAACTCGGGGCCTCTCGCATGCCAAGCGACCGCCCTACCATATGAGCTATCTAGCTTGATGTCAAATATTAAACGCTCGGGGAACAAAAACGGATTATAATTATGACGTAACTAACGTGCCTTTAACATTTTCAATCGCGGTACGTTAGCGTGCCTCTATAGAGTCACTGTGTTTAATTTTACTTGTCCCACGTTAGCTTGAAGTTAAATTTGAAAAAAAGTTAGGTTAAAACTAATTGACAGCTGTCAGATGTCAAATAAAATATTAAATAATTTCTTGTCGTTGTTAAATAAAATACGCCGTGACTAGAAGTACACCGGGAGTACGGGCATTAAACGTAGATCAGGTTTGTGCGCATGCGTGTTTCCATACCAGCTGATGGTAAAATTTCGGATTTATTAGTTGAGATTAAATTGGTGCACTAAGGCCCAGTTGTATAACAGTTGTTATGTTCTGTGACAGTTGGTAAACAGCTGGTTAACTCTTGATAATAATTATGTAATTATTAAACTAACTTTCAAGTTGTATAAACATTGATTAAAATTTAATTAAGTGATTGAAATACAATTAACAACAAAATTAATGAAATGTCAGTATGAATTACTCAAAACCAATCTAAACTCGACAACCCAACCCAACCAACCCCGCCCCATTGGGCCCCTCCGCCCCATTGAGCGACCATTTAATATTAAACAATTGGCAAATATAAAAATTTGCTAAATAAGGATTTTTTCCACTCGGTGTACGTTTAATGCCCGTACTCCCGGTGTACTTCTAGTCACTTTGAATAAAATATTGCGTGCGACTATTGGTCAAAAGAGGAAACTCCACTTGCGTGTTACCTCACCCGCTACGCTCGTGCGGCAAACTCAACGCTCGAGGAATCTCCTCTTTCTCCCAACAGACGCAGAACATACTATAAATCAATTGATTTTATATATTTTTTTAATTCATGCCTTTATTCACTTGACAAGGGAGATTAAATTATTTACTTACTTATTTTTTAATTATCTGTCATAATTTTACTAATCAAATTAAACTTACCAATGCGTAAAATCCCCCTCTCATTTTGGATTCCTTATAACAAATACTTAAAATTTCGTTTACTGTATCGGAATACGTTTTCATCTCCCTTGACTCTTGAGCAAAAGTTTTTACTGTTCTAATGTTTCCAATTTTTTCTTCAGCAACTTTACCAGCTTCTGCCAAAGAATCCTGAACTTGTTTTGATATCTTTCTAACAAACCTTCCATATGCAACTGCTACCACTACTAAAGGGGGAACCACTGTTAATCCAACCAAAGCCAATTTTGGAGACATGTAAATCTAAAAAATTACCTTACTAAAGTTAAAGTAATAATAATTGACTAATACATTTATGTTTAAATAACTTTAATTGTATCTTGCTTAGAATTCTAAGCAAGATAGAATTAAAAAAAGTTAAAAACTTTTTTAAAAGTTTTTAACTTTTTTTGTTACACCTGTGTTGAACATTAAGTAATTAGTCAATCTGATTTTTTATAGGTAATATAATAAAATATAAATACGAAATTTCATACTTACCATCATACCAGTTCCAGCACAAACCATTACAAATGATCTTAACCCATCAGAAATATTGGTTGAAAGAGCTTGACCAACAGCTTGTGTATCAGATGATAATCTATTAATAAGTTCACCAGTTGATCGTTTATCAAACCAACCCTGTTCTTGTTTTAATATTGAGTTAAACACTTGTGATCTTAATCTCTGAATTATTCTATAGCCTTAAAAAATTAATTTTAAATTATGAAATAAACAGTGAAACTGCCCTATTTCAAAATCTGAAGAAATTTAAAAAAATATGAGGGAGAAAATAAATAAATAAGTTTGGGTCATAGAAATATATGAATTATAGAAATTCAACTTGGAGGGATAAAAAGAAAACAAAACATCATTGAAAAAAATTTTGTTTAGGGAAGTTTCACTAAAAAAAAATACTTACTAACTGTTGACATAAAGTATATTCTTCCAAAATTACATAAAGCACCAAGTATAAAAACACCTAACAATATTGTGGTGATGTTATTTAATTTTTGGGTAGCCTCTTCTTTATTTACAGTTGTGTTAGAAGCTGTTTCTGACCTATTTGTATAAACTATATCCAAAATTTTACCTAAACTAAAAGGTATAGCCATCGTTACTGTACTTGAAACAATTAAAAAACCAATAGCACCTTTAAAATAAGATTAGATTTAATTTTTGGATTTCAATAAATTTGAATAAACTTACACATTATTTTCCATTTTTCTGGTTTAGCCAAAGCAAAAAGTCTTCCATAGTCTGTTTTCTTAGTGGTTTGTTTGGAGTTTACAGTATCTTTAGGAACTTTCTTTCGAAATGCAGACAAATATCTTCTTCGAGTTGCATGATTTGCTGTTTCTGGTATGTGAATCGAAACGTAACTTCCATGTCTAGTGGGTTTTTGTGACATTGTAAAATTTCTAGTTAAAAGCTTTTTTTGCCAGTATATTTGAGTATGTGCATTTCTTAATAAATTTAATGATTTAGGCACATTATGTTTTAAAACTATAAAAAAAATGTTCATTTTACTACTTACAACTATAAATACAAATAAATATTTTTTTAATTTAGGCTACCAATTTAAGGTTACAAAAATTTTGTTCATTTTAGGTTATCTATCTGTCAAAAACTTGACATTTTTTAATAATGAAAATTATCAATAAATCTGCATTGTTAAAAACTTTTTAAGTTTATAAATTACATAGGTAATAAATGTAGGTATTCATGTTATCTACTCACCCCTAGCAAATAAACTAATCTAAAAACTATAAGAACACTACTTAAAATATCGTAGTTCTGTCAAAACAAAGATTCCTTTAATTTAAAAGTTAAAATATTTGCTTTATGTAAGTAGGTATAGCCAAAGATAATACACCGGGGTGTATTATCTTTGGGTATAGCAGCTATAATCTTTGATGGTAAAGAAAAAGAGAAAATTACTTTCGTATCTCAAAATTTATCAGTGTATCGTATTACAATGAAACATTCAAACAATTTTGATTTTTTATTTGTGCTAATTAAACAATGATAACACAATTTCTGTATTATAGGTACCTACGTACTTAATTTTGACGATTACCCAAGTAGGTATATAGAGTGTGTCGCACTTAAGATGAAGACACCCCCATATTTTCGCTATTTAAAGAAATAAAGGTTTGAATTTTTTCACATTCATACATGTTGATGGGTCACATTTTTTAAGCTACTCAACTGAAATCTGAACTTTAAACTTGGCCTACTACAAATTCACAAACAGGCAGGGCCAGTTCTCGATATTTTGCTTCGCGTTAGAGATATCGAAAAAAGATATTGGAAAAAGTTGTTCAGAATATTATTCCAACCCCATATACCTACCAATTTTTATAACAAAATTCGCATTTTTAATTTTTTTTATTTTGGTCCACACAAAATTATTACAAGTTAATTTTTATAACAAAATTCGCATTTTTATTTTTTTTTATTTTGGTCCACACAAAATTATTACAAGTTAATTTTTTAGATTGACAATACAATTCATTAATATTAGAACCAATAAAATGCCAGTATTCCATAGTGACGTATTTTATCACAGCGGCAATAATTTTTATCATCTTGTTTACACGTTACTATGAATTTTGACGTTTTTTTGATTTGACATCTGTTGTCATTTAAATTCTGTTTTTGATATATATCAATAAAATAATGAATTATAAACTCTAAAAGATCGATGGGTTGGTGTAAACGATAATAAAATTAAGGTAAGTTTGAATAAATAAGGTTTATTAAAGTCTTTTTATATTCGCCGTGACTAGAAGTACACCGGGAGTACCGCCATTAAACGTACATCGGTTGTATTTATATTAAAAGTACACCGGGTGTATATTTATTAGGCGTACACCGGGTGTGTTTTTATTAAACGTACACTGGGTGTACGTTTATTAAACGTAAAATATAATATTTTACTTTATACTTTTCGCTTTCGTATTTAACAGCGCAAAATACTTACTTATACAGTATTCACGTACTACTGTAGCCCAAATAACTTAATTTTTGTATTAGCTCGGCTACAATGACAATTAACGCGTTTGTTTTTTATTTAAATAAAAACCGAAAAAACTGTCAGAATATTTTATGATTGCTTTTTCGAAAATGAAACTCTAATTAAAGTGGCCTACCTAGTATTTAAAGGAAAATAAACGAAACATTTACCAATCATAAAATTATTTTTTTTAATTCAAAAATTCGTATGTTTGAAAACTTTGAAAAGTGTAAAAAATCACTAAAACTGCAGTTTCCTGTTCTAAAATGACAGTGGTTGGTTTGCCAAAAAAAAGAAATCGTCCTCTGGCAAACAGGCATTTGCTAAGAGACCTTCAAGTATAAAAAATTATTGATCCTTAAGTGGCTTATTCCAAGATACAGTATCTTAGATACTACATGGAAGTTTTTAATAAAAATCGAAGTATTGAGGCTGATGATATTAATATTGACATTCCGCATTCAATATTAGATGATAATGTCAATATTAGCATCATTGAAGAATTTTGTACACATTCATCCTGGTCGAAAATAACTTCAACTTTAAATAAAAAATCGAAACTTTGTAATAGTCCCGTCCGTTACGCTTTAAATTATTAATTTTTAAGGAATTAAACAGTCAATCACGATACCTAATTTTGCCAAATAAAAACCTTGTTAAACAGCTTTAGTTTAGAACTATTTATAAAAATTTGACATTGGTAATATAATAGAAAAATATTATTTTGTAAATAAAAACACGGCAACTGTCCTATCCGTTACGCGTGGAATGGCTCTGTGTTAGATCCAATTAATCTTTTATTTGATATAAATAAGTCCGCACCTTGATAATTTTTGTTCGTTTTTTTTCATAATTTTATGGAAAGATTGGTAAATGTTTCGTTTATTTTCCTTCAAATACTAGGTAGGCCACTTTAATTAGACTTTCATTTTTGAAAAAGCAATCATAAAATATTCTGACAGTTTTTTCGGTTTTTATTTAAATAAAAAACAAACGCGTTAATTGTCATTGTAGCCAAGCTAATACAAAAATTAAGTTATTTGGGCTACAGTAGTAAGTACGTGAATACTGTATAAGTAAGTATTTTGCGCTGTTAAATACGAAAGCGAAAAGTATAAGGTAAAATATTATATTTTACGTTTAATAAACATACACCCAGTGTGCGTTTAATAAAAACACACCCGGTGTACGCCTAATAAACATACACCCGGTGTACTTTTAATATAAATACAACCGATGTACGTTTAATGGCGGTACTCCCGGTGTACTTCTAGTCACGGCGTTTTATATTTTAAAGCACATTTTAATTTCAAATGTCAAACTAAAAATTCGTTAAATCCTAAAATTCATTATATTTTCTCACTAAATATAAAGTGACCAGATTCTGCAGAATCTGGTCATGGACATGGACATGTCAAAAAAAAACGGGACATTTTGTGTAAACTAACCTTAAATACAAAAATGTCACAATCAACAATAATTAAGTAACGTCAAATTTACAATTTGCATTGTATCATTGTGTCAATTTTGTAATTAAGGTAAATTCATACAAAATGTCCCGATTTTTTTTGACAGAATCTGGTCACTTTAACTAAATATAACTCGTGGTATGATTAATTATCGATGATATTTACTCATTAAAACCGAAGCAGCACATTTCACTCGTCCTGCGGACTCGTGAAATCTGCAGCTCGGTTTCAATTAGAGATGAGCGATATTTCACGAACTGTGATTTTTTCACTGATATTTAAAAATCACGAATAACGACTGCTACTTACATCTGTTAATTAGCGTGATCTGTGATTTTTCACTGCACTTTAGAGATAAGCGATATTTCACGAATTGTGTTTTTTTCACTGAAATTAAAAAGTATTAAACAACGATAAAACCGTGACTTGGTATTTATCACAATAATCTTTTTCACTAATATTAAAAAGTATTAAATGATAAAACCGTAAATTGCTATTTATCAAAATAATTTAACATATTTATTATCATACCAAGTATTTTCGGCCGTAGGCAAATCTGTCATCCAAACATTTGAAAAAGCAATTATGGAGTTTAGGGATCTCAACTTACGTTTTTAAGTAATCAATTTTTATGTAAACGTAAGCAACAAAATATTACAAATAAAGCTGTTTTTATTAAAAATAGTTTCATTTATGTGTTAAAATAAAAATAAATACAAAAAAAATAAATATTTACCACGGTTAAATTGAACGAACACAATATAACGAGGTATAATGCGATTTCATCAATATCAGTTTAAACCTGTGATCACGTCACGTTTAAAAATCACTGATATAAAAAAATCACAGTAACGAATATCAGTGTGACTTAAAAATCACGGTATCGCTCAATTCTAAAATATCATCGATGATAATCATACCACTTGTTATAGGTATTATGGGTGATAATAAGGGAGCCATGGAAAATATTAATTTGATACTAACTAGTGTTTATGACCGTTAAATAAATAATTAAAACAATTCTTGGAAATTACAAATCAATTATTATTTATTAAATTAAGGAAATGGTATAAAACAATAATAAAAATAAATAAATTAGAAATGTGAATTTTGTTATGAAAATCGCTATACGGGGTTAGAATAATATTCTGAACAACTTTTTCTAATAATTTTTTTCGATATTTCTAACGCGAAGCAAAATATCGACAACTGGCCCCGTTTGTGAATTCGTAGTAGGCCAAGTTTAAAGTTCAGATTTCAGTTGAGTATCTTAAAAAATGTGACCCACCAACATGTATGAATGTGAAAAAATTCAAATCTCTATTCCTTGAAATAGCGAAAATATGGGGGTGTCTTCATCTTAAATGCGACACACTGTATATGTATATGTCTCTGGTACTTACCTATAGGTATACCTATAGGGTGACCAGAATTTAAATAACATAAATTTATTAAAAAATATATAAACATAAAAACTTGAACATAATTTTTTTAAACATTAAAAAAACATAAAACATAAATTATTTATTTTTTAGGTATACATTACATTAAAAAAACATAAAACATAAATTATTTATTTTTTAGGTATACTTTTGACTTGAATGTATTTTCTTTAGAAGTGATTCGTTTAACGCCAACATTTCTGAAAAATCATTGCAAGTCATGCTTATATTGAGCTTTACTATTGTCATTGCAGACAGCGTTTCTATAATATGGAGTATTATCATTTATCACAGAAAAAACTCTTTCTACACTAGCCCAGGTAGGCAACTCATGTTGCAATTTTTCTGTAAAATGACATTTTCTGTATTTTCTTTTTTCAGACATTTTAGGCTAAAATTTTTAGCTGCCACGTGGCAGCCTATAGGCAGACTATAGTCTAAAACTTTTATTCCTCTGTTACACTTTGAACGCGTTCGAAAACTCGCAAGAGTGCACTCTGGATACCAGAGACAAGAGCGCGTTCGAAAACTCGCAAGAGTGCACTCTGGATACACTGCAAGTTTACCTTGCGCGTTCTCTGGTATATATACCTTGATATATGCAACTGTCAGCTGTTCGAAAACAGCAAGTATATGCCCAGAGTGCACTCCCGGTTGTCCAAGCTTTAGAGTGCGTTCGAA